ATTTCTCCCCAGAGATGGACTTGCCACCAGTTCCATTATGGCGTGTAAAGTCGCCCCCCCCTGGCACGTAAACCCTGGGATAATTCTGTGAAAGCAGGAACCCCTATAACCAAATCCTTTCTCTCCAGTGCTCAAAGCATGAAAGTTCTCTACTGTCTTTGGAACTTTGTCTGCAAACAGGGCTCGCCGTCAACAGCGATGTCGAAGAACACACAAGGGTTGACCATGGTTGAGGGCGAGACACTCAAGCGGCGGCGTCTGCAAAGCCTTTTTTCAGTCACTTTTCAAATGCTTTCTTAAATAATTGTGTTTTTTCAGTTTGCAAATTCTGATTTATTTGTTTATGTTTGTGTCTTTTTGGAATGTTTTAATTGTCGATGGGGTCTATTGTCTTCTTTATTCTCTTTTATTTTCACTGGGCTCAACCATGCATCTTTTTCCTGCTTTCTTTTAAGTGAACTAAGTTTTCCTGTGCTTTTGTGAGGGTGCGTCTGGGATTACTTTGCTGCCTCTACAGTTCTTGAATTCCCTGTTCTCTTGTTTTCTCAAAGTGATTAAAAAAAAAACATGTGGCTCCTCCAGGTGTCTCCTTAGAGGGGGGAGGTCACAGACGTACAGGCAAGAGGAAGTGGGTCGGATGATCCATGTGGTAATGGGTTAGAGTTGGAGACATCAGGATGAATTCATGCTTAGCTTAATATGGATACAGAAGTTTAATATATGGATGGAGAGTTAAACTTAGAGTTATGTGTGTATACACACGTCTCCCTGCCGTTTCAACTGAGAGAGCCCAGAACCAAAACAGTTCAGTAACAGTGAACACTCTCAGTTCCTAGAGCTTGGCTTCTAATATACTCCAGTAGAAGAACCAGGGCACCTTGAAGAAATAGTTGATTCTTGGGCAGGGGCAGAAAAGGCTCAAGATGAACCTGGAGCATTCTGTAATTCTAGAAAGTCAGGAAGTGCCTGAAGATATTCACACAGTGATGAGAGCACATCAGAGGACACAGGAACCAGGACCGGCAGTTAGCGTAATGGCTATGTCGCTGGACTCCTACATAGTGGAATGCAGTTCGAGTCCCGGACCTGGTGCTTAAACTCATGTTGGGCATGTGTGCATGCATGCCCAACCAGTGCTCAAAGCATGAAAGTTCTCTACTGTCTTTGGAACTTTGTCTGCAAACAGGGCTCGCCGTCAACAGCGATGTCGAAGAACACACAAGGGTTGACCATGGTTGAGGGCGAGACACTCAAGCGGCGGCGTCTGCAAAGCCTTTTTTCAGTCACTTTTCAAATGCTTTCTTAAATAATTGTGTTTTTTCAGTTTGCAAATTCTGATTTATTTGTTTATGTTTGTGTCTTTTTGGAATGTTTTAATTGTCGATGGGGTCTATTGTCTTCTTTATTCTCTTTTATTTTCACTGGGCTCAACCATGCATCTTTTTCCTGCTTTCTTTTAAGTGAACTAAGTTTTCCTGTGCTTTTGTGAGGGTGCGTCTGGGATTACTTTGCTGCCTCTACAGTTCTTGAATTCCCTGTTCTCTTGTTTTCTCAAAGTGATTAAAAAAAAAACATGTGGCTCCTCCAGGTGTCTCCTTAGAGGGGGGAGGTCACAGACGTACAGGCAAGAGGAAGTGGGTCGGATGATCCATGTGGTAATGGGTTAGAGTTGGAGACATCAGGATGAATTCATGCTTAGCTTAATATGGATACAGAAGTTTAATATATGGATGGAGAGTTAAACTTAGAGTTATGTGTGTATACACACGTCTCCCTGCCGTTTCAACTGAGAGAGCCCAGAACCAAAACAGTTCAGTAACAGTGAACACTCTCAGTTCCTAGAGCTTGGCTTCTAATATACTCCAGTAGAAGAACCAGGGCACCTTGAAGAAATAGTTGATTCTTGGGCAGGGGCAGAAAAGGCTCAAGATGAACCTGGAGCATTCTGTAATTCTAGAAAGTCAGGAAGTGCCTGAAGATATTCACACAGTGATGAGAGCACATCAGAGGACACAGGAACCAGGACCGGCAGTTAGCGTAATGGCTATGTCGCTGGACTCCTACATAGTGGAATGCAGTTCGAGTCCCGGACCTGGTGCTTAAACTCATGTTGGGCATGTGTGCATGCATGCCCAAGATCCCAAGAGGAAAATGGAGGAGAAGGGATTGCGGTGTGGCCATCTCCCTGGGGGGTGATTTCTCGCTTTCTGTCTCGCTGTCTCTCTCTGTTTGGCAAGCGATGCATCCTAAAGAAAAAAAAAATTAAAATTAAAAAGAAAGAGGACACAGGAACTAACTGAGGAGTTCCCTGGGCCAAAGATGAACCAGTTTGATTAACAGAATAAAGCAATATTGCATTATAATTTAAGATGTGGCACAAATGTCCATGATTCCATACTGATATAAATAAGGGATTAAATAAAGTAATAAATGGACAATAGACCAATCTTTTAAGCAGAAGTATTCCAAACAAATTATACTTCACCCCGGGCCAGCAGGTGGTTAGGTGATTGGATCCCACAATGCCAAGTATGTGGTTCAGGTCCCTGATCCAGTGGCTTGAGAAACAAACTGGGCACATGTGCACGCTCGCCCAAAATCCTGAGTCAAGAATAGAGGAGAAGGGATTGTGGCATGGCCTTCTGCCCAGGGGATGATTTCTCACTTTCCCTCTCTCTGTCTCTTTCTGGCAAGCGTATATGCCCTGTAACAAATTTAAAAAAAAATGTGTATATATATATATATATATATATACACACACACACACACACACACACACACACACACACACACAGACACACACACACGTACACACACACTCCACCTTCAAAGAGGTGTGGGGCATTACTCCCCACCTCTAAATGTGGGCTGCACATAGCAACTTCTTCCAGGGAGCAAGGAATGAAAAGGGAGACAGATGCTACAGTGGAGAAAGCTTAGCCAGGAGCTGAAGGCCAACACCGGTGGTGGTAAGTCCTGTAACTATGTGCCTTTGGTAGGATGTGATGAGGACAGCATCTTATCTCTAGGGTCTTCTTCCCCAAAACCTACAACCCCACTCTAACCATGACAAAAACACCAGACAGATCCCTGTAAAGGGAGCATCCTGCAGAATCCTTGACCAGCCCTCCTCAAAATGATCCAGGTCATCAGAAAGGAAAGGAGTCTGATAAACTCACAGCCAGCAGGAGCCTAAGAGAACAGGATCAACAGGCTCTCGAATGGGGTCCAGGGACAAGAAGAGGACTTGAGAGAAAACTGAGGAAACTGAATCGAGGATGGATCTGAATGTGTCTACGCTGATTCATCATCATGACGAATGTCCTATACCTGTAGGAGTTAGCAGTAGGGAAGTAGGGTACTGGGTGTTCGGGGATTCTGTACTATTTTTTGAAGTTTTCTGTAAATTAAAAACTAGTAGTTTATTAAAAACAAAGTAAAATAGTCCCCCCCGCCCACACACACACACACAGCCCTGTGTGTCGAGTTCTGTTTTGTCCATTTTTGTCCAGTCTCCCTTTTCTCTGCCTGATGTTTCTACCTTACTTTGTTCTTCTGCTCCTGCATGCTCCTCGGGGCCTGGCTTTGCTCTGAGGGTACTTTGGCTGTTGCTTTTCCAGCAGTGATAGAGCCAGGCCACAGTAGCACCTGCCTCCACCCTCACGCCCTCTGAGGTGGCACCACAAATTCTGCAGGGTGCTCGCCAGATGTGTTCCTTTTCCCAGAGGGACCTTCTGTGATCCACCTGCTGCCCTTTTGATAGGCCAAAAACCTGCTCTATGTGCATTTTCTCCCGAACACAAACAACACACATTCTCCACTTGCAGGCCTGTCACCCTCAAGATAGCCACGCAGGCTACAGAACTGCTGCAGTACTTGTAAAGCCACTGACCCAGGCTTGAGGCTTTGGGGTGTGTGTATCCTCACCATGTGTTCAAGCTGCAGCCTGGCTTGCTTCGTTCTGAGTGTGTGCCTCATCTTCACCCTGTGTCCTTGCCAGTGTTTACCCTGAGGTCTTCCTCCTGACTGTTCCCCTCAGCACCGCCCTCACCTGGCTCCCAGTCACTCCTGTTCTCCTTCAGCCAGAGTTGCCCCCATATATCCCTCCTCCGATCCTGCATATGAACACCTTTGCACTCAGCAGGCTGTGTGCTCCCTCCCCCAGGCCTCTGCACATGCAGACCATATCTCCTCACTAGCTGGCAAGCCCCTACAGTGTGCCTCCCAGTCCTTGATCCCATGACTCACTGGGAGCCTCACCTGGCCTGGAGTGGCCCTCCCTAAAGGTTCCCCTTTGCCATGTAGGTGTCCTGCTGGCACGTCTCCCTGCTGTCTGTGGTGCCAGAGTTTATGTGACACTACTGGGCCATAGCACGCCCATGCCAGTGGAGAGGGAGATGTTGTGAGTGCACGGGACACACATTCTAGCTGCCCGAGATCCACCAGGCTGCTCATTCCATGGAGATGATTCCTTCCCGCTCCTAACAGTCCTTCTAGGCCTGCTGTTGACCCGTGCCAGCTCAGGGCCCCCTGGATGCCTTGCAAGCCTGTCAGACCTTGTGTTCAGTTAGAGACCCTACCTCAAGTGCCACCAGCCTCTGTCCCTACCCTGCAGGTACACACTGGCCTGCCTGTCCCTTGCCTAGGCCTCAGAGGCCCTGTCTGCTGGCTTCCTGCCTAGGCTTGTCTTGGTGTGGCTGGGATCTAGCAGCTGCCCACCACCTGCCTGTTGAGAAGGACTTTTCTGGCGGGCTTGCACCTCAGGGTCTCAGGAGTCTCTCTGAGGGTTCTCCCTGGCCCTGGCCCCACCCTCCTGGACGTACTGCATGCCGTGGCCACTCCCCCACCCCAGCCCACACTGTTTTGTGACACTGTCACTTTGAAAGGGCTGATTCAGACACTCCCTTATTTAACCAGCCCTTGCTGGCCTTCCTCTGGAAAGGGAGCAGCTGTTTGTATCTGCCAGCGTCTCTATTGGCTGAGGAGAAACGGTACAGGCACTTCCGAGGGAGGGAGCCTAGAGCGAGGGAACCCGGAGCAACTGACCAGCGGTGGGCCTGAGTTTTCCTCCCCGCTGGTGTGTGCCCCTGTATCATGCTTGGGGATCACTGTGGTCTCCCTGCAGACCGAGCTCTGCTTAGCCAGCCCCCCAGAACTGGACTCCGTTGCAAAATGGTACTTCAGGCAGTCAGCAAAGTGCTCAGGTAACTACCTGCCAGCTTGAACGCTGGCTGTGGGGAAAGGGGGCAGCCAGGGTTGGGGTAGTAGGAGTGTTTGTGTGACCGCCCTACCCTACTTCCGAAAGTCAGGCTAGGGAGGCAGTTGACTGTTGTCTGTGGTTGCCCTTGAGGTCAGGGAGGCAGTGACTATGTGGTGGGCCATGCTGAGTGGGCCGGGCCAGGGTGGCTCCTGTTGCCTTGGGTGTGCAGCTATGTGACTGCAGGGCCCAGTGTGTACCACCCAGGGCCAGCAAGTGGGGACTGGAACTTTATTTGGCTGGCGAGGCTTATCACAACAACCTGCACTTCCTGCTGCTCCCTAGAGGAAGGGAAGAAGGGAGTGCTCTAGAGGGTCGGGATGGAGACAGAGAACCCAGCAGTGACCTGGCCGCCTTGTATTTCTGGATCTACTCCTCTCGCCAGCACAGGAATCCTGCTCCATGCCCTCTGTAGCCCACTGGACAGTGGGTGATAGCACTGTCAGGTGTGTCTGACCTGTTGTCTCTGCCTGTGGCTGTTTGTCCCTGGGTGGGGTCGTCCAAATCTGTCCTCAAGTGGCCCCCATCCAGAGAAGTGACATGAACTCCCTGGGCACCTGATTGTGGGTTGGTTACTGTAGGGGATGTTGCCAATAAAGCCTTTTCTGTGAGTTTTCTCACCTCTTTCC